TGATCTAGCCCTAAGGTAACCCCACTTTTAGAAATTCCTCAGCAGAGCCGCCAGTTCTGTGATACGGTGGGAGAACTGACTTGGGTGTTTTGCATTTTATTTAAAATGTTGCGGTTAGCAAGAGTCACCACCGGCTTTTCTTTTATCCAAAAGGAAAGGTGAAAAATCACAGGAAATACCTTTGAGATTATTTCTTGAGTTCGGGGGGTAGATTATGAAAAGGAAAGGTATTAGCACCCTTTTCATCCATGGTTTTCCATGGGCTCTTAGTTACTTGCTAGATCACTTGCTTTTGTTTGAAAATGTGCTTTGTGTGGTTTTTGAAAGTATTTTTGAAAAAAGGCCATTGTTTAGGCAAACTTTTGTAATGATTCTCGTTCGTAAGAATGTATACAAAGTGTTGATTTTTTGAAAATGTTTTCAAGTTTGAAAGGTGTTTTGAAAGTGTTGGTGTTTGTTTTGAAAATAGTAAGGATGTTTTTGGTTTTGAAATTGAGAAAGTAACTAGGAATAATCTACTTACTCAAAGGTCTTTCATGTTTATTTCCTCTTTCCTTTGACGTTGTTATCTTACCATTGATTTTGGTAAGTAACCCTATCTTTGGGTGTAAAAGGGACGAGTGTGGGTCATCGTATAACCATGATCAGCAATGTTGCAAGATATCTTAGCATTTTTCCTTTAGGGACTAAGATCATTTTTGGAAGGCAACTTTTGATAACATCATCGAGGGACTATGATCTTGTATTTTGCTTGTCTTTACTAAGATACCTCACATGTGTAATATGGTCATTTTATAAGGCAACAAAGTGGGTTTACCCTAAGGGTGTAAGTGTGCAAATGTGTTGGTTTACATGCTTTATTTGTCTTGATTAGGGTTTGTTATTTGTTGGTTTTAATATTTCCATACAAACCCTAATTACTAGCAATTGGTACATAAAGCATTAAATTGCAGAAAATAAAAATACTAAGCTATTACTAAGCTTTAGGGGATTGGGGTACAAATTTATGAATGGGGATTGCAAGAAATTAAAATCACAATTATCTATTACAACCATATTGAAATAATATACAAGAAATGTAAAAGGGACTTGTTTTGTTTTTGTTAAGAAATTAATTTACTTAAGAAAATATTTTTGATCTTTTTGTTCTAAAAGAAATGAAATAAAACATGTGAATATGAAATATTTTTTGGTGTTTTTTGTTATTAAAAGCAAAAAATAAGATAAACAAGAAAATGGAGTCAGAATCACAACATTGCTGAAACGAGGAGGAACAGAAGTTATGACTCTGATACGCTGCAAGAGAGAAAGTGTTAGTAGGCAAGTAGAAGGTCAGAAGTTCTGGGCATGGGTACACCAAGTTCTGAGATTGCTGAGAATGAAGGAAGATCTAGAAGTTATGATTGTCGAAGGGGTTCAGAAGCTGTAGTATAGTTGGGAACCTAGAAGTTCATATATTACTGGTAAATCAGAAGTTCTGACCATTGGAGAGAGTGAGGTGGAAATGTTGTTGGGTAAAGTTGCTTTGAAGTTCTGATTTAGGAATATTGCTTGCCAGTTAAATGGGTGAGAAATGTCAATAAATAAAACTAAAAAGAGATGCTTTGGGGCTAGAACCCAGGACCCTTAGTACTAATGTCTTATGCCCACGCTTTCTATCATTGGGATAGTTGTACATCCGGTATTAGAGGAAAAAGCATGAACATATAACATAAAGTAAATTCTGATGATGAGCTTCGTCTCTTTCTCCATGCTAATCAGAACATCTGCAACTTAGTCATTTCTCAACAGAACAGAAAAACATAAACATGGCAATTATGGCAGGTCTTCCATCATGGTTTCAGAAGCATAAAAAATATCAAGACTGTAAATCAGAAACAAGCATGTATCTGTTAATCCTAATTTCTTTAGGAAATTCTGAACTGATATTCTCCCTATTTAGGCAGAAAAATACATGAAACTTCAGAATATGTACAACACCAGAATCAAGATGTCTACATTGTGTTTTTGAACATGCAAGTATAACAATGCTTAAGGGATGTGATGAGGGTTAGAAGAAGCTTACCTTGTTGCTGAAAAATGTTCTATGAGTTGGAGCCTAGTTCTGACTGCTTGTAATGTTCTAATCAGCTTCCTCACGTGCTCAGCAGGCTAGAACAACCTTTATCTTGGGATATGAATGGCTGGAAAATTCTGGAACAATCAAGAAGCAAAGTTCTGACTTTTGAGAACATACAGTCTTAAAACAGGAGTTAGGATGGTTTCTAAATGTATATCATAAGCTGTATGGATGGTTTGGTCAAGAAACACTTGAGAAAAAATGGAATTTGAATGCAAAAATCAAAGACTAGTAGGTTTTGTATTTGGGATGTAGCTTCAAGTTCTTGGGAGATTTTAGCAAGGTTTCAAGGCTTTTCTTTTCAATTTTTCTATCGGCCCCCTCATAGTTGTCAATGAAGTTCAATTTATAGGCAAGAACTTTGTAGCTTGGAGAAGTAAAAAGTACAGCCATCATACACTAGGCAATGACTTGTTCTCAAAGCAAGTTCAAACAAGCAAGGTTAACAGCTTTTAGTCGTGCCTAAGCTGGATTTGTAAGCATGAATTACGGAAAAGTACCCTCAAAGGAAAAATAAAAGCATGGGCCCAGCATAAAGTTGTACCAAAGTTTTCTTTTCAAGGACAACAATGGTACTTCTATCTCACGCGTGGGGAAATCCATTGGATAAAAACTCAAAAGTGGTTGTGAGCATTAAATGATGATGAGATTTATCAAACCAGAAATCCTGCACTATGAGATTATGCGTCATAGCTTAGATCTGAGCCAGAAGTTCAACATCAACACAACTTAGAACAAAACATCCAACTTCTGATCCTTTAATCTTTTCGCTCCAGCATGTTCTGAAGGAGTTCTCAGACTTTTATGAAAGTTTGTAATACGCTTTGTAGACTTTATTTTAATTATTTTTGCAAACTCTGGCTGAACGTTCATGAAAACTAGTCCAGAAGTTCTAACCAAAACCTGTCTTGAAAGTGTCCAGAATTTGCTGAGTGCTTCAGTTTCATGGATGTGTCTTTGAACATTTATAACTTGAAATTCCAACATTTCCAGGAGAAGTTTTGTTCTACAATATTTTAGGTCTTATTGATATCTAAAACTCTTGTGTTATAAGTTCTTCCAGAATCATCTTGCATCATGGTGATAATCTGATAAGAAGTTCTGAGCTTGTCATATTTCTTAAACACTTAGAAAAATTCTAAGTATTTAGAAATTTGACTTTTCCAAAGTAAATTTGACTTTTGAATATCTTGATGAAACAAATTTCACATTCCAACATGTCTTGATGAAATAAGATTCTTGAAACTTAATTTTGATCAAAAGTCAAAGTTTGACTTTTCAGTATGCAAATGACCATTTTGCCCTTGTGCCAATTCCAAGTCTAAATTGATATGTCAGTACTGCAAACTTGATATCATAGAAGACCTTGTGAGAGAATCCTTGAGAAATGAGAGAGCAGATTTTGGGGTACAACACATACATACTACCTCATTACATTATTTCACTACCTTCAGGCCCTCTTCGCCTAAAATTGTTTTTCCGAATGGCAAAATCTTTACATTTTAAATACTTATAATAAATGGCATAAGCTTCACACAGTTCAAATTCTATAGTATGAATTTCATCAAAAGTAATGGAATTAATACTCACTAGTTGTCGCTACCACGAAAAATAACAAACACAATGACGCCGCCATCGAATATTTATTTATCCCAAGGAAGGGAAATGAAAACATCGAAGAAAAACCTATAAAGGAAAAGATCATGGTCTCGCGACCAAGAGAAGGGTAAGGGAGTCGATTACGCAAGAGGGAGGTATTGGTATCCCTCGAATCCATTATACTCAATGGGATCCACTCTTGTTATTCTAATCAAAGTGTGTGTTTATATCTAAAGCTTATAAGCTAAGGGAGTACATGAATGAATTATTAATAAACAAAAAGAAAGTTTTTTTTATTACGCTCGCCTCATTTTCGAAACCTCGTGCCTACGTATCCCCATCATGCAATAGAAAATCAGAGCACCGTAGTTCTTTTGAAAAAGAATTGCTTTATTTGTGTTTTTTAATGGACAATGTTGCATTCACATTCTAGCAGTTGACATTTACCGCTCGACCTTCGGAGACTCACGCGTCGTATTACGCAGAATGGAAATAACATGTCCTTTTTATGAAAAGATTTTCAAAAGAAAATCTCGGAGGAAAAAGAGATTTGATTGGTTGAGTCTTTTTGTTACCTTGAAAAAGGATTTGGTGATTTGAATCACATCAAAGACTATGACTGAGAGGAAGCACAAGGTTAGGAATGTACCGCCTCATACTTCTCCTAATACTTAAGGCTCATGACACATGGTTATCCTCTTTATTATTAAGTGCTTTGGAGATTTGATTAAGAAAAAAAAGAAGTTTTAGTCTTAAATGAAAATTCAAAAGGGAAAACAAAATCTAAAGGGGAAACTCAAGTCTAATGTTGTCATGCACAATGGTCCTAGAGTTAGGATATCAAAGGGAAAACTAACTAAAAGATATCATGCATCATGGATCTACGGGCAAGGATTGAGGGAACCTCTACCTAATGTTATCATGCTTGGTTTAGAACCTAAAGTCTATTTAATTCACACCTTGAACAAGATGGAATCAAATTCCTAAGGGTACATGTGAGCACAAGCAATCAACAAAGAAACAAAAGAATGATTTCGTAATCTCAGCTGGGATTCAAGACTGAGTGACTCTTCGTTTACAATAAAATAAAATAAATAATGATGTTGTGATCTCAGTTGGGGAGAAAGACTAAGTTACTCTTTGTTTACAACAAAACAAGCAAAAGAATGATGTTGTGATCTCAGTTGGGGAGCAAGACTAAGTGACTCTTCATTCACAACAAAACAAACAAAAAAACGATATCGTGATCTCATCTAAGACGTAAGACTGAGTGAATCTTTGTTCACAACAAGGATATGACAATAAACAAAACCCAATGTATCACTTGGAAAAGGGCACACAAGTCAATCATACACCTAAGTGTGAAGTGATCATCCTTCAACAACAAGTTGCAAGCAAACAATGCTAAACCTATAAGCATGTTTCATGTTATCAACAAATAAGCAAAGATTTATCAAAGTAAACACTTAAACACACACACACACACACAAATCCCCTAAGGGTCATGCTCAAAAGGTTTTACCCTAAGGTCTTGGAACCTAAGCAAAAGTAATCAACAAATGCACAAGAATTCATGAGTTTAGGTATCAAATAACCAACACCACTTAGCACACAAAGATAATTTGAAACATGAAAGGTAAAGAATAAAGAAAGTCAGAAACTACACCTCAAAGTGTTTAAACAAACACATCTCAAATATTGGGAAAGAATCATAAAGGATCAATCAAGAATTAGGTCAAAGGACAACACAAATCTCAACAACTATCTTCTAAGAACTAAGCAATGAAAGATACAAGCATTGAGATTAAGGCATGGAAACATGGTGCAACAATCTAAACAATAAACTCAATTTCAAACATATCTCAAGGTCATAAAAGATATCATCAAGCATCATGCTCAAAAATTAAACCAACAAGCAACAATCATCTTCCTAAGGCATCAACCAATTGATTCATCAATAACATGTCACCCAAAGGAGTTAATTGGAAAGAGTTTGGAACCCTAAAGAAATTTCAAGGCAGTAGCATTTAAAAGAGACTCAATTCTAAAAATGTATCATGGTTACAAGAAGTTTCATCATGCATTGAGTCTAAAAATATGATCAATAACCAAGTGTTCAAAAAACAAAGTCATCAAAAGAGATCACATATTCCTATAAAAGAAAATAAACACATGATCATGAAGTTTAAACAATAAAACATGGCAATTAAAAAGCTATAGGAATGTCATGCTCATCCTACAAATCTCACAAGCATCAAGAAGATTGCACACAAGGTATGCTCAAAGAGTAGGTCTCAAGTTAGATAATTATTACCTCAAAAGATCACCAAAATGAATCACCAATCTATGGCATATAAATGATCAAACAAATATGGAATTAAGGATCTAACTCATGGAAATATACTCAAGTATATGTGAGAAGAAACCCTAAGAAATTGCACAAGTGAAAACCCTAAATCAATCCATCAATGCAAGCAAGCATCTCATCAATCAAACAATAATCGGGGCTCAAAGAAATCCAATTAAAAGACCTCAAAAATGTTTCAAACTTGCATCAAATTAACATGAATTCAAACAACAATCAAGTTTCTTAACATATCCAAGAAATTGGCAAATGATCCTTTTAAACAATCATCAAACACAAGCCTTAATCAAAGAATGATCAACAAACAACACCTTCACATATTAATTCCAAATAAAATTGAAAATTAAAAGTAAAATAAAAATAAAAAATACTAAAAATGTCCTAAGACATCAAAGAGTCGGAAACATATTTTTGGAGATTTTTTATAATAAGGGAAGATTAAAAATTAAAATGAAATTGAAAAATAAACAAAAATGAACAAATAAAAGAGTGGGGTGTGAAACTAAAATGCTCAAAAGAACTTGAAATAGTTGTTCAGTGCACTGGGCTTAAAAGAGTGGGGGGTGAAACTAAAATGCTCAAAATAATTATAAATAGTTGTTCAGCGCACTGGGCTTAAAAGAGTGGGGGTGTGAAAAACAAGTGCAACACATGCCTAGTCCACTTAACACAATTATCTGATATTATTTGTTATTTTTTATTTAAAATCAAAACAAAATAAAGAAAATAAAACTAAAATGAGGTGGAAAAGAGAAACAACGCATGTACGAGTCACCTCACGCCACCATACTAGTCAACATTTCAAACTAAACAGTGACGCCAGAGCCCTAGCTTTGATTGTCTTCTCCGACCACCAAACTCACTGTAGCTCAAGAAATCAATAGAAAATGAAAACGAAAGCATCTACTTCACTCGTTTTTTCATGTAGATCACGAATTGACCATTAGATTTAGAAACAAGCATTGAATCATGGTGAAAATCAAACATAAAATTAAGCTTGCAAACTTGAGATTCAATAAATCAACACGTATTCAACTTTAGACCAATGCCTACATGTTGTAGGACTTCAGATGCAGATGAATGCTCCTAAATCAGGCATGTTAAGCTAGCATGAGGATGAAATAAGTTTGAGAGATTTACCTAGTGGAGTGGTGTCCATTGCACCTTAAATTTTGCGTAATATATGAGGAAAACTCTACCAAATCCTTCAGAGATCTTCATCTTTGTTGAAGGAAGCAAGAGAGAAGAAGAATGTTTAGGTTCTTGAGTGATTCGATGATGAAAATTCTTGGGCGAGGAAAGGGTTCAGATTTGAGTTCTTGAGATAATGAAGTCACTCTCGTGGTTAGAGTTATGAGAGGCTTTACATAGGAAAGGTTTAAGTATGATTTAAATCTTAACTAATGTAGAAAAATAGTTAGAGAGTTTGTTGAAGAATTTTTGAAGTGAGAGTAAGAGAGTGAGGTGCTGCATTTTTCTTGCACCATTTGTGTTTTGATTAATAAAATGAGAGTGAAAAAATCCTTGAGTGGTGAGCTGGCACAAGGGAAGAGTGGAGAGCAAGTTGTTGTGCTTTTCAAAATTTTCCTTATTTGAGTAAAATAACAAGAAGTGTGCATGCATATAAAAGCATGTGTTTGGTTATTTGGAGCAAGGAAATGGTGTGTATGCATGCATCCTGAAGCATATGGATGTTAACATCACACAAAATGAGCCAAAAATGACTTCTTGACCAAATTAGAAACAATACACTTGAGATGCAAACATAACCATGGTGATGACTTTGTGAGCTTGTAACTTGGAGCTCAATGCCTCTCATGGTGTAAGGTTGGTGTCAAAAGAAAGAGGAAATGACAAGGAACATGTTTGGTGTTGAACACAATTTGAAAGGAAACCATAACACCATGGAATTTTCCCTTGAAAACTTGTCAATAAGACTGATCAAAAACACTTAGAAAAATTATAAGTGTTTGTAAATTAACCAACTTAACATCTTGACTTTGAAGCAACATATCTTGAGATGTAATGAAGTAAATGATGAGCTCTTGGTACTGAATGAAAGCTTGAAGGAAGTACAATAACTCTTATGTTGAGAATAATTTGAGATGAAGCTTAGATCCTTGAGAAAAATGCCCTAGAAAACAAGTACATGAACCTGACCAAACTCTTCAAATTTTCACTAAGAGTTGAACTTCAAAAATTGAATGAATCTCTCACTCCAATGCCTCATAACTTTTTATCCAGGAACTTTTTGGAGATCATTCCCTATGCAAAACTGAAGTATGAAATCTTCTCTTTACTTTGAGCATTGGTTTGCAAATTTCTGATCAATGTGAAGGGAGTTGTGAACCTTGCAATATAATCAAATGAACATGATATTTCCATACTTAGTGAAAATTCACGAAACCCTAATTTAGAAACTTTAGGGATTTTTTTATTCTCTTTGATTCCACTTGATCAAACCTCATAATAACATGAATAATGACTTCAAAAGTACATGGTTGACCAAAGAACTCAAGAGTTGACTTTGACTTTAACTAATGGTTGGCTTTTTTCTCAATGCCATCAAATCTCTTTCTTCTGTCACTTTGAATCTTTTGACAAGCCTTGTGATGACCAATGATGAACTTTTGGATACCTTGAGATGTACTTCAATACATAGAATCATGTTTTGCTCTAAAAGTCAGCCATAGATTGACTTTGACTAAAATCCTAATTCAAAACACAATGGATAGGAGAATATGAACAACTTTCAATCATTTGAAACCTCAATCACTAGATGATTGTATGAGCTTGTTAAGGAATAAAACCTTGTGCTTTGTAGGAATACTCATGATGATGAGACCTCAACTTCCATCTCTTTGAATACCAATCCTCTTTTTTTTTTGTGATGCATACTCAATCACCAAAGCCTTGATCCCATGACAATGGAACCAATGATATGCATATATATGTATGATGATGGAGCATAAGCCTAATAAAATTGAAATATTAGAGGACAAATTTTGGCGTACAACACCAGTCTATCACCTACAACTGCTTGGCTATTTGACAACTCCGGTCCAACTGATTCCTCATCATCGTCTTCATCATCTGAACTTTGATATCCACTAGATACAACATCATTAACATCTTCATCGCTGCTATATCCAGCATCGTATGAATTACTATCAATGTAAAGAATATTGTTCAAATTAACACCAACGGAATCGTTGTAGTTGTCCATATGAAATCGTCCAATACGTAACAAAACGTAGGACAACATCAATCATAAAACCTAATTCCCAAAATTGAAATGAAATATTAATCAACATATTGAATAACTAACAATTTGAAATCAAATACAGATAATAACATCAATCATAAAACCTATTTTTCAAATTGAAATTAAATTTATCTAACATAATGAACAACTAACATGTTGAAAACTCATTGTCTGGAGTTAGGAAGAAAACTCATTTTACAATGGCAGAAGAAGATGATGAAATGAGGGTTTCATCCTCAATGGTGTGAGCGACTGAATGTAAGAATATGAAACATGTGCTTGTTATACACAGTTGGGAAAAAATGTTTTTATGATTGTTTTACAATTGCAGAGGAAGAAGATGAATTTGGGTAGTTCTACATAATGAAGAAAGAAGATGAAATTATTGGTGAAAATATTGTGAGACATTTATTTTAGGCAAAATACTCATTTTGGTCCCTTAACTATACTCTTGAGTTCACATTGGTCCCTTAACTTTTTTTCGTGTCATTTTGGTCCCTTAACTTTCAAAAAGTTCCATTTTAGTCCTTTTTTGTCTAATTAGCGACGGAAAAACTTTAAAATATGTCGTTAAATCTGTCGCTAATTAGACAAAAAGGACTAAAATGAAACATTTTGAAAGTTAAGAGACCAAAATGACCCGAAAAAAAATTAAGTGACCAATGTGAACCCAAGGGTATAGTTAAGGGACCAAAATGAGTATTTTGCCTTTATTTTATTGAATTTAGATTTTTAAAATATAAAATTAAAAAATATAAAATAATATATTGAATGAACTAAATAATATAAATTTAATATATTAAAATTTAATAGCAATATCAATAAATATGAAGATACACGAAAAATAATATACACCGTATAATCCTATATAACACTTACTTATTACACATTATTTATTGATTGATCAAAATTATAATTACACAAAAAAAAAATCATTTTAACAACTTCATCTATTAAAGATAATCTTACACAACTTTTTGAATTAGATAAATAAGAATTTACCTTATAAAATTAGTTCTAACCATACATAATATTTATATACCATGTAATTAAAAAAGGTTTGAAAATTAAAAAAACCCATGATATTTTTTTAACCTTGTGTATATGCTATGAAGATATTGCATAGTTGTCTACAATGCTAGCATGTCCACAAAATGGGGAACACTGTAAATATCCCCTCCAACCATACCCTTTCATGTCATTTCCAAATTTTAATATCACTCATTCATTATATAGTTCACATAAACACATAAAACACAAACACATAGAAAAAATATATAAATAAAAAAAAAATCCAAAAAACAATGGAAGGAGGAGGAATGTTATCATCATCATCATCACCACATTCTCAAAACTATATCTACAGAGAGTGTTTAAGAAACCATGCAGCCAGCCTCGGCAGCTACGCAACCGACGGCTGCGGTGAATTCACGGTCGACGACACTTCAGTATCAGCAGCCAACAGCCTCCAATGTGCAGCCTGTGGCTGCCACCGGAACTTCCACCGCAAGATAACCGCAACATATGCAACGATGGCGAATAACGCCATCGTTGCAATGTCAGATCAGGTGATGGAATATTCAGGTGGTGGAGGGAGTGGTGGGGACGGGAGGAGGAAGAGGTATAGGTCGAAATTCACGGCGGATCAGAAGGAGAAGATGCTGGGGTTTGCTGAGAAGCTGGGGTGGAAGCTGCAGAGGAAGGAACTTGATGAAGAGATTGAAAGGTTTTGTGAAAGTGTGGGTGTGAGTAGACAGGTTTTTAAGGTTTGGATGCATAATCATAAGAATTCTTGTTTCTCTAATTCTTCTGATCCTTCTACTGGTAATGCTAATTCTTCTCTTACTCAGTAGTTGTGTGTGAAGGAATTTCAGAAAATTAATGTAGTATTTTTCATCTTTTAATTATTGCTTTATTTTATTTTTTTCTTCTTTTTTTTTTTTCATCATGACTTGTGTGTAATATTTTTTGTGGTTTATCTTCGTTTGCTTCAGAATTATTTTATTTGTTTTTTTAGATGCATGTTAGATCTATTACAGAAAAAATATTATGATAATTATATGGCTAGTTTAAGATCAAACTATCTATAAGAAAATGTTTAGTCATAGATAATTCTACACAAAAAATTGTAATCTTATTCGATGTAAGGAATTAGTCTACTCAATTACATGAAGCATATATGTTCGGATTACATCTCAAAAAAATTGCAACTTTGTATTTGTTTGACAAAATCAGTTTCATTTTCAATAGATCTTAGATCTTCCACATACACCTTCTATACTTTCGAGCTTTGAGTTTGGTTTATAAATATAAATGTTTCCTTCAGTCATTATTATAAATAAAAATTCTCTTTTTATATTTATAAAATAATTGATGTATATAATCTTTATTTAAATCAGATACATTAATTATTTAATGAATTTTTAAAAAAATTGTTATTTAACATATTGATTGGAGAGAGTATTGAGTTGTTTATGATCGGATTGTTAAATTCATATATCATTATTAGAGTATATGGATTAGGTCTAATTCATGAAATTAATTTTTGTAAGATTGAGTTAGATTCAACATATGATATAAGAATTTTATTTAAGATTCATTGAGCTACCTTCTATCAAGTTTTTGCTATCAAACCACTTATTATTTACATTTATGCACTAAGTCCAATAGTATTTAATGTAAAATAGTATGTTAAAAGTCTTATTATAGATGATATATGATATGAACATAGATTTATAAGTGGATAATTTTCATTTTACAAGATTGTTTTGTATAAATGAATTAGATTAAATTCTAATTTTAATATGGTATAAAAATTTATCGGTCTGATCATAAATCGTCTACTATTAATATTCATACACCAAATTAAATAGTGCTAGGCATAAGGATAAAGGAGTGTACTGAGAAAATATGAAAGTTTCAAATTAAAAATAATTTATATCTTTCAAACTAATTTATAAGGTTGAGTTAGATCATTCTATTAATATTTATATGGCTAGTCTAAAATCAAACTATCTATCTAGATAATTCTACACTTAAAAATTGTAATCTTATTAGATTTTAAGGGATTAGACTAATTGCAATTAACTCTCTCACACTGCATTTGGAACATGATAAAGGAGAAGAAAAGGTTAACATATGAAGAAATCATGCATTGTATGTTTTGGTGAAAAAATGTAGTTCCTCTAAAATTATTATTTCTTGGTTTTGGTTATCTTCTCTCAATTTCTTTGATATTAGATTTTCATTATTTCAAAGTGGACAATAGTCATTGTCATCAAATGTTTTTGTTAAGAGGATAGCCTACAAGTCTGTCATAGTAATAGTACAAGCACCAAAAAAACAAGCAAAATTAAAAGCAAAAGTATCATTATGATTAAGAGTCACTCCCTCACAAACCAACCTTGTTTCATGATTAAGTTTGCAATGACATAAACAAAGCAAAAATAAATAAAATAAATATAAAAATTGTTTTTTATCTCTTTCTATACCATTTTTAGAAAAAAATTATGTTAATAATCATAAGCATTTATATTTCTTAGGGGGTGATTAAATTTCACCAAGTTATTTGAGTTACTATTTTATAATGTAGTGTACTTATTTTATGCATAGTATTGAAATGTTACCCTTAATTTGAAGGCTATTACCCAATAATTGGATTGGACTTCTCTCATTCTTATCCCACATTAATTAAGTGACCCTGTAGGGTTTAAATGTGTCGACTGGACCACTGTTCCCATGTACTCTATGGATTCAAATTTGCCTTCATTATACGCAAATCCAAAAAGAATTCAGAGGAACATTATTCATGTCTCTTCCTCCACAAAAGAAAGATATCTAATTTACAATGACTCTCATATGTAACCCAACCACAAGATCTAGAAACTGAAAAGAAAAAGAAAAAGAAGAACAAAGTTTGTGTAGGAAACTAAAATCAAATAAAAGAAAAAATAATAATTTAAGCTAAATTATGAAAATGAAACATTGGTGCGCATGAAATTGAAACATTGGATGGTGCCTCAGGACAAGACCACAGTTTTGGCAAAACTACCTGGCATGTTGCTAATATTGAGGTGTTGCTCTTGTTATTAAGGACAAAGGAAAAGACAGCACATGCATTCGCAATTTGTAACCCAACCACAAGATGTTGAGAGGGTATAGACCACCTTTTATGTATAAGCAACTTGTGCTACTGTTCCACTCATCTCTTTCAAATGGATTTTTCCGAAAACAGGGTATCTTTACTGTTTTTTAGCAATGTGTCTAAAACTTTTACTTTTCCTAATGCATGTTATTTATCACTTTTTTTATTTCATCAAACTTCTGATTCTTCATTATTATAAATAAATAAAGTTTTATTAGCTAGTTGCGATTTACAACCAGTAACCATTTCTAAGAACTAAATGATACTTAGAGTCCTACTCATTGAGAATCGTTGTAAAATGCTCTGGGTTTTAACAAATAAATTTTATTTTAAAATAAATGTCATTAATGATTTTTAATCTTTCAATTATGTTTTTAATTATTATATACACTATTTTTAACAATTTTATTATATTTCTTAATTTGTGTGAAAAAAACTCATCATTAATTGATGGTAACTTATATACTACAAAAATATCACTTGGAGAATGATTCAATTCTACTTCATAAAACAAAAATGTATTTATTAAAAGTTATAAATTTAGAAAATTGTTAATGAAGATTGACACAAGCGGTTAAGGGTTTGGAATTTACCTTCTTTTATGACTCAGAATTCATATCCCATCAAAGCCACTCAAGTGTTTTAGTGGGCAATCTTCTCATAGTAGAGTAGATGCAACTGAAACTACTTATAGTTTAAATTTGTCCAGTAATCCTCTGAACTGGACCTTTCTCATTCTAAAACTTTATTTCATTTCATCATTTCATTCTACAACATTCTACTTGTTCCATCTTATCTTATACATATATACTGTTATACACTTGGATGCCCAAAAAAGTGGGTCAAATATAGGAATACAGTTAGACCTGATGAAAATCATAAAACCAACCATGAGAAATACAATCATGAGATCACATTGAGAAGAATCATATTGTCAACTGTAGTAATTGAATCATCAAATTTACATCCAATCCGCTTTAAAGTTGGGTGAATACAAGAGTGATTGGCAATCGCTCTCACTGCATTATGCAGAAGAGACATAAGCGGAGAGCTCAATTTACAAAATCTCAATGGTACAAAATCAAGAACAAAACTTGGCTTAATCCGTACAAACGGGAGATTGCACTAACAGCTATGTAGGTTTATTTCCTCTTGTATTTTTCCTTGAAGACTAGATACTCTTGGGTTTATTCTTGACAGCTAAGGCTGCAGCTCTGTACCATGAAGCTGTGGCATAAGCACCCGGATCAGGAACTGATGACTGAGTCTCTTGAGGCACGTAAAGTGTACGCCCAGCCTGCATAAGCTTCCTTATCAGATCCACTAATAATGTCTTAAGAAATAACTTGCATCTTTTCATATAATATCATTATTTGTTATATGGGGTTGTTTTGAAACTGTTTTGGTAAATGGTTATTAATAAGGATCTTCTGAGGGGATCCAGAAGCTATCATACACAAACACACATAAACATGACAAATTGTCTAAAATATAGGCCATTAGAATGAAAGCATGACACATTAACCATTAAACCAGGCTCACTTAAGCACAATTGATAGGCTTTATGAGATACAAATGGTATAACGTAAAAGCAACTGCACAGGAAAAGTTTCACAGATCCAGAGAAAGAAAAATAAGAAAAAGACCAACAAACTTGATGGCATGGTCTTGGGTCTAAATCCTGGCCATCGAGAAAACAAGAAATTCAATATAGGATTTACCGAGGAGATCCAAGCATTGCTCATTGAAAACCCAACCCAATTAAACTTCCCTTACTCCCCATTTTTCTGGAAAACAAAAAAGAGCCTAAAAGATATGACCCGATGTAGGGTCCAAAACTTATAATCTTGAACCATAACAGAACGCACAAGAAACAATTCCAATATTTAAAATTGATTGCTTTATAAATCTTTCTTCTGTGAGAATCAGAGAAGTGGTTGAAATATGGTCAAATCCTACATACTAATTTTAGGATCTTTTTTTGGTTCTCTATAAATGCAAGTGAGAATTACATTATCAGAGGATCATGTTGAACTTTATTCATTGATAGTGTGGAAAATTAAATAGTGGATTATATTCGAACTCTGATTTATAAAGAGGAATCTACACTAAAAAAGCTCCATCTCTTAACAAAGAAACAATAATAAATGTCACCTTTGCTCGCATTGTCTTGGTAGACTCAGCTCCATTAAGTGCAGCCTGAGATGAGGTAAGAAAAGCAGTGGCAGGATCATCGCCAGAATATAGTCTCTGTAAAACCAAGGCATAGTAAGTAACACTAAATTACGTCAAAGGACTAACGAAGCAAATGAACAGCTATTGTCAGCACCTCTTCAAGTGATGACAATGCTGGGATAAGGGCATCTAGCAATGTTCTGTAACCAACTTTAGCTCCCCCGTATTTACTAACAGCCTCAATGGCTGCCGCAAGTGCTTTAGCCCCTGAATCAAAAGACTCATAAGGGATGGAGAGTCCAACCAAATCGAGATAAAACAAAGGAAAAATAAATATAAAACACTGATTGGATGCTGCTGGATTTGGATAATACTTTACATTGTTTTGATGTGATAACAGAGTGGGAGCTTGTTTTCAGCTGTGCACATGCCGCCTTACATAAAATTGAATATCTGGAAGGAAACAAACTAGTAAGAAATTGAAAATAATCAGACAGCATAAATAATTTAACTTAAAACAAGGCGAAGGAATGA